GATATAGCTACACCTAATTCCAGACCGGTTAATGCAAGAACTATAAATAAAGGACCAAGATCCCCTATGAAATAGAAAAGATCATTCATACATAGCATAGTCCAAGCGAACCCACTTAAAATCTTTACTGAACTATGACCGGCCATCATATTAGCAAATAAACGTATTCCTGAGCTTAATGCTCGAAAACAATAAGGGATTAGCTCAAGGAGTACTAAAAAAGGTGCTAATGGCAGCGGGACTCCCGCGGGTAATAAGAAGCTTAAAAAATGAAGCCCATTTTTTTGAAATCCCACTATAGTAATGCCAATAAAAATCGAAAATGAGAGACCCAAAGTAATGAGAAAATGACTTGTAACTGTGAAGCTATAAGGTATCATACCCTGGGGATTACAAAATAACGAAAAAGTAAAAGTGACCGAGATGCGAGGGGAAAACTTTTGTTTAACATTTCCGGAAAGACCACCTATTTGTTCGTTTACCGGGTTCAGCACGAAATCATAAATAAGCTCTACCAAGGATTGCCAAGCATTTGGTACTGAGTTTCCTCCTCCCTTTTTAGTAACAAAATAAACCAAAAGTAGGACCAAACTGAGAGTTAGTAGCATAAAAAAAGATGGATTTGTGAATGAGAAATAGAAGTTTCCAATTTTCATAGGAATCAATGGCACAATCTCAAATTGATCAAGTGGGCTTTCTAAGAGATCCGCATTCGTATTCACTGCATTATTCGTATTCACTGCATTGGAATAGGCTGAACCCCCTACAATCTCGTTAAATTGTTTTAGGGCAAAGTCATAGTGCTCACCCTGTTTGTCTTTTAAATGTTCTAAAATTTCTCCGAGAAAACCCGTGTTGTCATCATCATTATGCAAATTTTCTGTGATTGCGAGTAATTTGTTTTCATCTGAACAATGATTTTTGAAGACTTTTTGAACGGACTCAAAGATTTCACCCCTTAGGTGGTCTGCTATATTTTCAAAAGTCGTAGAAGTAGTAGGGTCCAGACCTTCAAAAATACCATGATTATTCAAAATACTCGAAACACTCCCATCAACCTGAGTACTGGACGACCGAAGACTAAAATCGCCAATAGTCGTAGTAGATTGATTCGTAGGATTTAGAATCCCAGTACTACTAGTTCCGAATGAACTACTAGACGAAGGCGAAGCTATATTACTGGAACTGGAACTTGAGTTCAGACTAGCTTCATCAAAGCGGAAAATGCGTCGCACCATATTTTTTTTTTTAAGATGATTCCCTCAATACAGCTTAAGTCAAGCCTGTACGAGTAGTGAAGAAGTCTAGAGATTTTAGTTGGTTGTTGACCAACGGAAAGCATGGGAAAAAGATAAAGATTAGTTAGATGTAGCACACACTTCAATCCAAAGAAGCAAGACTTTTTCTTTCTATAAGAAATTACGTAATCAGGGTTAAAGCACATACATATAGAAAGGTGTAAAGGACAGATGTGTCAGTTAATAAAAGAATGACTTACGTGCAGTACTGGTACGAATTACTTTATTGAATTAGAAAGCCCCTCCTCTAATTACGAATGGATTCGATCCATTAGATTGACTCTTTTCTTTCTTCTTTAGATTGCACGAGTTTTCTGTTCTGAGCCTTAGTTTGCGCCTGCCTACCTTTCGCCTTTGTCCACTAGACAAGCTTTCTTAAGGATCCATCCCCATAGTTTATTATCATATAAGATGAGTGGAACACCCGTTTATTGAGCATTTAAGGCCTTTTAAGGACTTGTGAGGTATTTAAAAATCGGAATTTTAGGTTCGATCCGTTAGGTTGACTCTTTTCTGTCTTTGTTAAGTAAATAAAGACAGAAAAAAAAAGAGATTATTTTTTGTTTTTTCTTTGCTGTTATTATAGATAAGGGTATGCCTTTTTATTCTTATGGCCATCAATTGGCCCGCTCCCACAAAAAAATGTTTCCTAGGCAATTTGGCCACATGCAATCCATTCCTTTTTCCTTTTCTATCAAACCCTCACCATGGCACTCTAGATCACTTAAGGGGCTGGACCCACTTATTCGAGCACGCGATGTGTATTACAATGACCTTCAGTCGACTAAGAAGGTGCATCATATTCGCAGCAAGCCAGCCTCTCTTGCCTACCCCTAAGTCCTGTCTGCAGTAGCTGCTTCGCTTCTATTATAGATGACCGAAGAGCGGACTTCTTTCCAACAAAGAGAGGAAGTTTCGATTCGAACAGAGAGATATGTCGGAATTAGCTCTTGGGAAAGATAGAAGGGCAGGGCTTCCATAATTAAACCAATGTGGGAGCTACTTATAATAAGTTCCAAAACCTTGAGATGAAGAAGGGAAAGCGTAAGTGAACTCGATCCAGTGGAGGAGGAAGCTCGGTTCAGTCCTTGCAGATCTTGACTCACTCACTTCCAGAGTAGAATACGAAACTCTAGTTGAAGGGGTATTGGCCATTATGAGTAGTAAAGGCTACTATGAGCAGAAAGGGACTACTTGGCTCGATCGAGCAGCACCTACACCTTCTCGCGTAACGACTTCTTTGAAGCTAGGCTAGGATCGGATCCAATTCTAGGAGCGATGTCAGACCAGTAGACCCAAGTTATGCCTTTGATCTAGTCGGTTTGAACACATTGTTCTCTTGAAAGCTTATTAGGAAGCTAAGTCTTTACCTTTTCTTTTCTCAATAGGAGGTCTTGTGCCGTTGGACCTGCCCTTTATGCAGCAGTAGTTTCGGTTGAACTGGACATTGCTCCCGCTATTGGTAGGCTTACTCGACTAAGAATTCAAGGAAG